TTTTAAAAAGCTAAAGTGGATAGAGAGAAATACTGTTAACTGATGGTACATGGAGGGGATTATAATCAGTGTAATGAAACAAGGTATATGATTTGTTGAATGTAAAACTGATGATATGCCCTGTCATCAAACTTTCACTCAATCCACAATAAAAACCTTTAAAAAAAAAACAACAAAAAAAGAAGTTTAGAAAATACAGCTCATCACAAGAATAAAATAAAAACTGCCTTCAAACATTTTTTTAAAAAGTATGAGAGACGAAGTCTCACTCACCTGATTTCTCAGGAGATTCATAAAAACTGCGTATTGTTTACATGGCAAGGAAGAAGTGGTGACCCATATATGTAGTCCTTAGTGGTAGTAGTCATGTGCCGTAATGTTAGTTCTGACTCATAGTGACCCTGTACAGGGTTTCTGAGGCTGTAACTCTTTACGGGAGCAGAAAGCCTCATCTTTCTCCCGTGGAACAGCTGGTAGTTTCAAACTGTTGACCTTGCGGTTCATAGCCTGATTTGTAACCACTACGCTACCAGAGCTCCTTGTAGTGAATCTAAATAGTTTGTGTGATGGCGATATGGCACACAATACCACTTAAAGTAGCAAACCAAGATTTTAGGATTCTTTGAAATACAAGTCAGGTTAGGCAGTGGAGAAGGAAGGCAGTGTTTGGGGTGGAAAACAAGACTTCTATCAACTGAGTTATGAGATTGAATTATAAAATATTAAATGAGCTCATATAGTAAATGAAATGCCTAACTAACTGATTAAGTGGAAAATGATTTAAGATTAAATTTCCTGCAATTCCCTATTTTATATTTAAAAGTTTTATACTGTGCCCTAAATACATAGTGCAATACACAGGTCATCTAGTAAAATTTCCAAAAATGAAAATGAACTCAGTCTCCTACATCCACCTGTGACTTCAATATTTGCAGAAGAGTAGGCCAAGGATAGGGATGCAAGTTTTGGGAAAGATCTCTTCCTTCTTCTCTGTGTGCATTAAGAGCTCACTTGAGGCAGAAACAACTTTAGCCTCACTTATGCCGCCTTTGGAGTCCTTGTGTGGTGCTGTGGGTTAATGAGCTGGACTGCAAATTCGGTTTGAACCCAAAGTTGGTGGTTCAATCTCATCAGCCGTTCCTCAGAAACCCTATACAGGGTCACTATGGGTCGGAACCGACTCGAAGGCACTAAACAACAACAACAAGCCTTCTTAAACTAAGCGTCCCAGGCTTAGCAAGTGGGAATAAAGACCAACAACCAAAATTAGCCAGTCCCATTTTCCATTTCAGAAAGTATAAAACTTGAGAAAAAAATCTGTTTTTTAACACTTGTACAATCCACTGTCAAGTGTACACAATTATTTCTGATTTGTTTTAGTTGAGTAGTTCTAATAAGTGGGAAGAATTTAGGCTTAATACGGGTTCATGCTTTTGACATTTAGGATCAGCAAGATTTGTCAAGGGAGTTGGTCCATTTGAAGAGCTGATCGTCCACAGATTTGTAAGCAATATAAGAGTGCCAAAAGTTTATAATCTTTGCCTGTTGGACTATGGGATCATACGAAGTTTTCAAGCAGAACGAGGTTATCCTTGACTAAGTTTTTTTCTAACTCAGCTTTGGAAAAATCCACCGGGCCCTGAATGTAAATTCATAAAATATTTTCAGACAGTTGTGTATGATCTAGATAGATTCAAAATAACTTCCCTAACTCACTCAGACCTTTAAGAATGAAGGAAAGTCACGTGGGGGCAGGGGCCCCATGAAGATCCAATTTAAATTGCTTGAATTTCATGTTGGTGACTTCAAAAAAATGTTGCTTGTGGTAGGACTTTCATTGATGATCTAATTATCCAAACAGAGCAGATGATAGAAAATTGTGAACTGTGGAAACTTGTACTGTTAACAATAAAAATGTTGGCGTTTAAAAGCAGTGTTAAGTGTGGAATGGAAGGAAACATTGGTAACTTTGTTCTAGGGGGAGGTGTTTCTAGTCATTGCTTTTCACTTTGAAATGTATAGATTAGCTGTTCAGTCTTCAGATTTTCAAAAGGTTGGTAAATACATTAACAGACATTTTTGATAAATTATGTGATACGCTGTCAAAAGGTTTGTTTGGTGACGATTTAACCCTAACATTATGATTATAAAGAAGCTTCCACTAAGTGTATAACCCTGGTACAGCAGTCTGTGCCTTTATGTGATTCAGGTTAGCCTGAAATTGGGATTTTACTTTGCAGCTATGAGCATTAGAATCCTGTGACAGGATTGTGTTTACTCTGACAGATATAGGGGATTCTAAAGAGCAGCTGAAGGAAGCAGCAGAGACCTCCTCTCAGAGGAATCACTGTCTTCCTACAGTATACGTCAATTCTTTGGAACAAATTTGAGCTAGCTTATAATTGCCAGTGACTATTTAATCAACAGCATTACTGCCAACAGAGCCAAGTAAAAACCCCACCCTTCTGTATCTTCCACAGAACAAGCAGAGCAAAACAAATAGTTTGTTAGAAATAATACCCCCTCGCATATACATCCAGAAAAAAACTCATCCCCAAAAACATTTCTTAGACTTTCCATAGAGAGGAACACTGACAAACAATCCTCATCTCCTTAAATGGTGGCTGAAGAACTGACTTTTCAGCATTTCTGTATCAGTCAGTGATAAGAGGAAGTGAGGTGTGGGGTGTGCAGTGCATCTTCCAGGGGTGCAGTTACAGGTTGGTGTCTGTGAATGTGGTGTGCTCCTTGGTCACTGAACTGAAACCCTTGATGGCATTCATCAGGTCATCTTCGTCCACATACTGAAAAACACACCAATTCTCGCTGGTCAGGGTATTTGCTCTCAATTCTACCAATTTAAAATACTTATTAAGGGGTAATACCATATGCTCAACATATCAGGTATGGTTTAAGACACTTAAAGGTTTGCCCTAAGTTTATCTTACGGAAAGGATCAGGTCATATGAACACATGAGTTGTATGTGATTTGAGTTATATTGTGCCATAACCTTTCTAAGCCTCAGTTTTCTCAACTGAATAATGGGGAGATTTTACACACACATGAGGGCAAGTTGAAAAAGTATTAACTACAGAATCGTTAAAGTGCCATCGAGTTGGTTCTGACTCACATCAACCCTGTATGGGTTTCCAAGGAGCGGCTGATGGGTTTGAACCGCCCACCTTGTGGCTCAAACTGACCTTGCAGTCTAGCGCATTATCCTGCAGTGCCACACCAGGACTCCTACAAAATCATAGACACCTTTATTAGAAGTATCAAACTGTGAAACTAATGTTTCTTCATATATCCTGTGTAAGCCTATATACTTTGGAAGGCAATGTTTCCATTACTAACCCTTCCCTGAAAAATACTGCACTCTTCAATTTACACCACATCAAAAGTACAGTTTTGGCATCTTCAAGGGATTCAAATGGTGTTCCTTGGAGTTTTGAGAATCAAAAAGTTTTAATGGGCAATATCAGGTGGATGTGGTAAGGTTTCCCAGTGGAATTCGCAAAGGACACTGTGATGATGGGAAAAAAATTTCTCGGTGCAACTTTCCTGATACACTTTCCACCAAAGGTTTCCATGTTCTTCAAACTTCTTTCTAATCATCCCCTGTGATCATCCTGTGTCCATCAAGAAAATCTATCCAAATTATCCCTCAGGGAATCCCAAGAAATAATTGCCATAATCTTCTGAACTGATCTCTGAATTTAACTGGCCCAGAAGAGCTCTTCAGAAGTCACTGTTTTGGTTGGACCTTTTTGGGGAAGGTATCCTCCTGAGACTAAGACAAGGATATTATTCAGAGAACGTGTCTGCAGCCATCCGCTGATCAGAGCCATGGTTAATCATGCTTTGTTTGGAACAAATGTGCATATATGAGCTGAAACCCTAGTAATACTTTTGACATTCTGACGTTTGTATGTAAGTTGTTGCCATCGAGTAAGTGACTCACTAGATGTGTGTATCCTTAAGAAAATCATTAACATCTTGAATCATCATTTCCTTCTGTAAAAATGGGGATGATAATAATACCTATCCCTAGGTTGGTGAAGGTTAAATGCAATAATGCATGGAAGCCTTTGATGGAATATTTTGAAGTTTATGGAACTGACATTTTGCATGTCAAAACTGATTATCTTTCAAACTAATGTAGTATAATTAGGAACTTTAGCTCTAAAATGCAATGCAAGAAACTCAACAGTCATAATGAGTCCCATGCTTTTTGAAATGCAATGAAGTATCAATACATATTCCTATATAAACACCTTCACCAACAATCGAGAAGTACTATGCACTTTACTTGTCAATGGTGGTATGGAGGTTACTTTATTATTTGCCATGATCAAGACAGATGTCATGGCGTCATCGACCTTTCAGTGAAGAAAATATGAGGATTTGGGAGCAAGAGAAGTGAAAGCCCAAAGGCAGAAACAGCGTAATTGAATTAAGTTTTTTCTTTTTTTATAATTATATCTATTGTGTTATTGAGACTATACAGAACACAACACATGCAAAACAGTTTGAACTGCTAGGTTGGCGGTTCAAATTCATCAGCTGCTCCTCGAAAACCCTATACAGGGTCATTATTGGTTGTAATCAACTTTATAGCACTTAACAACAACAACATACGTGCCATTTTTTGGAATCCTGGTGTGACACTCAAAGATAGGCGCAAGAACACAAGGTTGATGGTTCAAATTCATCAGCCACTCCTTGGAAACCCTATACTGGCTCACTATGAATTGGAACCGACTCAGTGGCACTTAACAACCACAACATATGTACCATTTAGTGGCACTGGTTACATTCGCTTGTTATGAAATCATTCTCATCCTCTTTTTCTGATTTCTTCCTCTCCTATTAACATAAATTCATTGCCCCATAAGGTTCCTATCTAAACTTTCAAGTTGTTGAGTGACTTCTTAGCTGACTATTTGTTTATTATCCTAATATTCTTCTTCCAAAGGAATGTTACTTCTGCAGACACCTAAGTAGTTGAAACAATTAAGAAGTTTGATGATTGATAAAAATTAAGAATTTAATGAGCTTGGCCAGGTAGGGGCTCTTAGCAAATATTAGATTATGATGAGGTTAACTTTAAAACACTCAATTATTTGTACCCACCAGACTGAAATTATGGACGATGGAGTATATAAATAGTTGTTGTTAAGTGCCACTCAGTTGATTCTGACTCATAGTGACCCTGTATGGGGTTTCTGAGGCTGTAAATCTTTGTGGGAGCAGAGAACCTCATCTTCCTTCTGTGGAACATCTGGTGGGCTTGAACCTCCAACCTCATAGTTCACAGCCCAGTGTTTAACCTATAGAGCCACAACACTCCCATTATAAACAGTAGAACCCTATTTATCATGAGTTTCTAACCGTTTTTTTACCTCTTGAGATAAAGACAAATATTCTAACAATAAACCAAGCAGAAAAAGATCAGTCACCTTTTTTTCCCTAGTAAAATACATGCATATATTTTATTCCTACTTTTAAGCCAGTCCCAATATATCCACACACCTTCAGCTCCAAATTAATGAAGTGTGGCCTGTTTGTTTATTCATACACTTCTTTTCTGAGCACCTAGTGTGGCATTATAGGATAAACACTGGACTGCTAACCACAAGGTCGGCACTTCAAACCCACTAGCTAGCGGCTCCTCAGAAACCCTATACAGGTCGCTATGAGTCGGAACTGACTCGACAGCACTTAGCGAGAACAACAATATGTGTACCAGAGAATAAGACAAAAGTATTACCCTGTTCATCATCAAGCAATTATAGTAGCACACACTAGAAAACAAGAGGTCACATAAGCATTGAGTAAGTGCTCAGAGGTAGACACTGAATGCTGTTAGCCTGCATTCAGTGAAGTATGAGAAGCCTTGTGTCTTCTCTTTCCCACTCTTGTACTGGGGTGGTTAGCAAATTCTACTGAGGAAGAAATCAACTCACCAGTCCACTATCCTGGCCCATGATAGTTTCCCACAGCGAACTGTCAACCAAGACTTTCTTGTCTTGAATGTCCATGAGCTGACTGACACTGCGATGGAGAGATCCTTGGGAACAGGTTTGGCTGATTTGACTTTGACTTGGGATTCGCAGAACAGACACGCTCCAGGTGCTCCGGATACTCACAGGTGTCTCAGACTGAGGAATTTTGGTATCAGCCAATCCCTGGGATAGAAAAAAAACTTGCTATTGGCAATTAACATACAAGGAAGCTTCCAAAATTTCATGGAGAAATTCTACTATCCTTTAATTCCATTTTTCTATGAACTTTTTGAAGCACCCTCATATAGTGAAAACGGATTTGGAAACAGGACAGGAAATTATTTCACACACTGTCAAGGAAAGGAAGAAACTGTCCCTAACCTTCCTACAGAATTTAGGAACTATGAGCACTCCTGCAATGCTGTGGCCCTTGGTTTCTTGGTAAGGGTGAGAATGCACTAAAGGTCACCTTAGATGGTCAGTGTCCTTAGCACCCAGTGAGCTCATAATCTGATGCTCTAGCCACATTTCCCTGCTGGGCTAAGGGCTTCCTGCAGTACAGCTGTGGTGTGAGGGGCTCAAGGCATTAATAGCGTAATCTCTTCATGCCTGTCATTACCATCTGTCTTTAGTACACCCCTTTTCCAGGCAAAGTTAACACAGCTCTCTCATGTTTACCCAGAAAGAAAGCACAGTATTTCGCTTTACAATCCCTAAGGAAATTTGACTCCCCGCTTTTTTTCCTCTCATGCTATATAGTTTCCCTCATGATAGGAGTCCTGCTTCCAATACCGATCAGGTCAGATACTAACACCAAAGAGAGAAAACCTCGCCACCATTAGGACCTGAAATGTGTCTTGAGATGAAACCTAGCTTCTCTAGCATGCAAAAGTTCTCATTTAGTTGGTTCAATCAAAGAAACACCAATCAGGTCAGATACTAACACCAAAGAGAGAAAACCTCACCACCATTAGGACATGAAATGTGTCTTGAGATGAAACCTAGCTTCTCCAGCATGCAAAAGTTCTCATTTAGTTGGTGCAATAAAAAAAACACTCTTGCTTTTCATGTGTGCAGTCAACATGCCGTGCAAAAGATCATGCATTCAACAGCACATAAAGGTACCTCAAAGTGCATGGTGTAACTTTTTAGGGTGACATTGCTTGACACATCAGATATATCAGCCACAGAATCAAACTGAGGAAAAATTGGGAGCATTAGTTAGTATTTGGAACATTTTTAAATGAGTTCTTTGTGTTCTCCCAACTATATCATAATGATGCTATTGTTGTATGTAGCTGAGTCAAGTCGGTTTTGAATTACAGTGAACCTACATGACTGCTCCATAGGATTTCCTAGAATGTAATTTGTACGGGAACACATCACCAGTTCTTTTCTTCCTCTGAGTGATGGATGGGTTTGAACCACCGACCTATAGATTTGCAGCTGAGTGTTTAGCCATTGTGCCATCAAGTCTCCTATCATAATCACTGTTGTTGTTAAGTGCCGTCAAGTTGGTTCCAACTCAAAGCGACCCTATATAGGCTTTCCAATTGGTGCTGTTAAGTGCCATCGAGTCAATCCTGACCCATAGCGGCCCTGTAGAGGGTTTCCAAGGAGCAGCTGGTGAGCTTGAACCACCGACCTTGTAGTTCAAACGACTTTGCAATCTGTTGCATTAGCCTACAGTACCACACTACCAGATTGTACACAAGAAGCTTTCAAAAAGTTTGTGAAAAAGCAAACAAACAATTATCTTTAAATTCCATTTGCCCATGAATTTTTTGGAGCCACTTCGTATGTGTGTATTTTTGTTGTTTTTAAGTGTCGTGGAGTTGGTTCCAACTCACAGCGACCCTATATACAGTTTCCAAGGCTGTAAAATCTTTGCAGGAGCAGAAAGCTTCATCTTTCTCCCATAGAGCTGCTGGTGGGCTCAAACTGTTAGCCTTGTGGTTCTCAGTCCAGTTCTTATCCTACAGAGCTACCACGCTTCCATATATATATATACTTGCCTGTATACGTATACGGAGTCCTGGTGTGGCACTACAGGTAAATGTGCTTGACTGCAAGGTCGGTGGTTCAAACTCACCAGCTGCTCTTTGGAAACCCTATACAAGGTTGCTATGAGTTGAAATAGACTCCATGGCACTTAACAACATCTGTCCTCTCTCTCTCTCTCTCTCTCTCTCTCTCTCTCTCTCTCTCTCTCTCTACCTATCTATCTATCTATCTATCTGTCTACTATCTATCTGTCTCTGTCTGTCTGTCTGTCTGTCTGTCTATCTATATATCTATCTATCAACATAACTATCTATTTGCAGGAGTATATACATCTCAAATGTATGTATTTGAAGGGCTCGCAATTAAGGGTGATTAGAATCTAATTACTTTGAGGCTAAGATGAGTTTCACATGCATTATTTGTTTTGTAATGCTGAGAATGGGAGGACCTTCAAGCCAGTATTCGGTTACAAGTAAACCTGACACCAAAACTGCATGCTGCATGACCTTGGAAAGGTTAATAAAATACAAAACTCTCATCCCCTCCCCTCCCCCACCCCCTTGACTTGCTTTTCTCTGTTTAGAGTATGGCCTAAAATAATTTTGCCCTGTTTGAGTCAGGTGTTAAAATGGCACCTTATTTGTTCAGAGAGCTGGTATGCTTGGGATAGGATGTCAGAAACATTGGAACCACAGCTGCTCAGGTGAGAGAGGGGGAGGTATCACTGAGCAGGAGGATCCAGCTTGCTCCTGGTCAGTTTCTTACTCCTTGATGCTCACTAGGTAAGGAGCTTAGGGACACCACCAATGATTTCATTTTGCTCTGCTAATGCACATTACAGAGTTGTGGTGTGGCGCTGTAGAATAAGCACTGGACAAGGTCAGTGGTTCAAACCCACCAGTCACTCCTCAGAAGCCCTGTACGGGGTAGCTATGAGTTGGAACTGACTTGATGGCACTTAACAACAACAATGCAACTTATACTCTTAGTTTGAATGTAATTTCAGTCTCTGCGGGGTGTACTTCTGAAAAATAGCCCATTGAAAATCCTATAGAGCACAGTTCTAATGACACAACATGGGGTCACCTTGAGATGGGGTAGACTCCCAAATTAGCTGGTTTGGTTTTGATTATACACAGTAATAAGCTCCGTGCATGATTTCAATAAATGAGAGGGCTTCAAAAATTTTGTGGAAAGATTATATTTTAATTCCATTTTCCACCAATTTTGAAGACTCCTGTACAACTCTTCTTGACCCTGACTTCCAACCACAGAGCCTGGTGGCACATTAAAATCATCCGCGGAGTCAAACAAACAACAACAATGCCCAAACTCCTCCCCAGATGAATGAAATCAGAAGTTCTCACAAGAGGTCCAGGCCATGGAACTTGTAAAAGCTTCCCAGGATTCTAATGTGTAGCCAACATTGAGAACACTGTTGTGGGGCTAGCCTCCCTTGGTCCCCACATTTTGTCAAACATAATTGTCATCTGGTCCCTGATTACCAAGACTATGGAAATATTCCCCACCCCCCAGTGATGGGGAAACGGGGTCACACACTTAGAGACTTACCACTTGGGATTCTCCCGGTGGGCAGACACTCAGTGGAGATACCCTCTTCTGAAGAGGAACTAAGGGTGGCCTCTCTCTAACATACGGCTCCTTGTGGATCTTTCTTTGCAGTATCAGGGACAGAAAAATAGCCAACAAAATCAGGCCCAGCATTGCCATTAACACAACGAACCATAGCTCATTGTAGAACTCCGTGGTTTTGCTTCCCGACCCTCTCTTTTCTCCAGGAGTTGTTGGCACCACACCTGCAAAGCCCAGAAAAAAGGAAGGGACACATTAGTTCAGAAGGCAGTAGTATGATGTAGTGTCCTGTTACTGTACTGTAAACTAGAAAGATGTTTACAGCAGCGTGTTACATGGTGTTTGCACTTGTGTTCCGGTGGGGGTAATAGGTCAGGGTGTTGGTGGGTTATAAAGAGAAGCTTACAGCCCTCAGGAGGCATTGCCACTCAGACTGGAAATCACCACTGCCTTTGCAAGTCTCTGGGAAAGACAGAGACCGGGATGGAATTCTTTCAAGGGCTTACTCAAATTTCATTGCAGCGTGCACCAGGAGCATTTGAAATGCCTCTCCTGAGAAGCGGTTCTCATGAGGGGCTGGGATCCTTGCTGATATTTCTCTGGCGTTCCCATCAGGTAGGTATGCAGATTCAGGCTCCCTTGCTTCAGGCCACTGTCAGATTACTCAATAAGCAAGAATTTACTTGTGCTTATTACTAATCTGTAAGGAGCTCTGATAGCGTTGTAGTTACGAATCAGGGTGTGAACCTTAAGGTCAGCAGTTCGAAACTACCAGCTGTTCCAGAGGAGAAAGATGAGACTTTCTGCTCCCGTAAAGATTTACAGCCTCAGAAACCCTGTACAGGGTTGCTATGGGTCTGAACCGACTCAATGGCACTTAACAACAACAACATTACTAATCTATAGTGGACTCCTGGTGTGGCACTGTAGGATCAGCACTGGACTTTGAACCACAAGGTCAGTGGTTCAAATCCACGAATTGCTCCTTGGAGCCCCTATACAGGGTTGATCTGAGTTGGAACCAACTCCAAGGCACTTAATAGCGACAGCATTTACTTATCTGTAGTGGACTCCTAGAGCCCTGGTGTGGCACTGCCGGGTCAATGAGCTGCACTGCAAGGTCAGTTTGAACTGCAAGGTTGGTGGTTCAAGCTCATCAGCTTCTCCTTGGAAATCCTATACAGGGTCACTGAGCTGGACCCAACTTGATGGCACTAAACAATAACAACAGCAGTGGACTCCTGGTGTGGCATTGTCAGATCAGCGCTGGGCTGCAAACCATAACGTCAGTAGTTCAAAACCCACCAAGTCCTCCTCAGAAACCCTGTACAGAGTTGCTGTGAATCGGAACCAACTCGATGGCACTTAACAACAAGTGGACAATTTCACATTTTCCACCACATCAATGAGAAGGATTCTGCTTCTAGATCCTGCATTTGTCTTTATCCCAACTCCACAAAACTTTCCTACAGAGTCAAAGCCTCTTTTCTAATTTACAGCCCTGACAGAGGCAAGGTAAGTACAGGTTTACTTGTGCTTACTCACTAATCTGTAGTGAACAAAAAGTAAACCTGTGCTTACCTTGCATAATGGATACTCAGATTTATGGCACAGTTCAGTCCCTAGCAAGTTGCATGCAAACGGGATTTGAAGCACCAGACCTGTTTTCCATTATGAAGTGAGTGGTTTCTGTTAAACAGAAAAAGCTCTGCAAACTCTCACTCCAATGTGCTGGGAGAACTTCCTGTGGAAAGAAACCCTTTGAACTGTGACCACTGACTCTTAATTCCCATCATGGCTTAAGAGTCCAGGCAATGTGATTCTCTTCATTTGAGGATTATCAGTGTGGCTCAACTGCCCCGAGCATTGATCCTAAGCAGGTTTATGCTGAACAAAAGCTGGTGGCTCAATGGTTAAGTGCTTGGCTACCAACATAAGGCTTGATGGCTGTGGGAGAAAGTCCTGGGAGTCTATTGCCATAAAAGCTTACAGCCAAGAAAACCATATGAAACAGTTCTATTTGCTCACTGGGGGTTGCTATGAGTCAAAAATCGATTCTGCGGTACCCAACAAGAACAACACGCATGTTTATAGTAGAAGCTTTGCTGGGATGAAAACTGGGCAATAGCGGTGTTATTGAGTCGTGTGGATGTGAGAAGTGGGGTGAAATGAGTCAGGCCAGGCAGAAGGGCACGTGGCAGGGGATCAATCAGTCAAGGCGGCACCCTGGGTGAGCCAGCGAGCGTCTCAGAGATCCTGTCCAGCCCAGCTACTGCTAGGCCAGCTCAGGAAGAGGTGGGGGTCCCACCTGACTGCCACACAGGCTAGTCTGCAGCCGCACATCCGAGAGGAACTCGTCTAAAGCACATGTCCACAACCAAAAGGCAGATGTACAGATACAGTTGGAGATGTCCACTCACCCAGTGGATGCATTTCCCATTTTTGTGGCACCTCAAGGACTGTGTGGGTCTGTCTGACTCTTCAGACCCACATTCTCAGGGAAGGGCTACAGTGGCGAGGTTAGAATTGGGGTGAGACTACTTCAGGGAGAGAGAGTAAGTGACTAAAATTTAACTTAGAACTCCACTGTTGTTGTTAAGTGCCACTGAGTCAGTTCTGACTCGTAGAGACCCTGTATAGGGTTTCTGAGGAGCGGTTAGTAGGTTTGAACTGCTGACCTTGGGGTCCAGTGCTTTATCTTGCAGTGCCACACCAGGACTCCTTGAACTCCATGAGAGGAGGGATATTACTTCCATTACTTTTACTCTGGTGGTACAATGGCTGTTAACCAGTTAGTGGGTTCAAATTCACCCAATGCCCTGTGGAAAACAAACAAACCAACAAAAAAACTCCTAGGACCTGACACCATAAAGACACCAACACAAGACAATCTAAAACCTTTGCAGCTCAGTCAATTCCAGTTCATAGCATTTCTAAGGCTGTAAATCTTTATGGAAGCAGATGGCACATCCTTCTCCATCCTTCTCCCATAGAGCCACTGACCCTTGGTCAGCAGTCAACTGCTTTAACCATTGTGCCACCACGGCCTCAGGGCAGGTCTATGATGTCACATGAGAGCCTGATGACTAGGAATCTAGATGACTGCAACAACCTGAACCCTATTTCTTTTCTGCTGTTTTGTTGAAAACAAACACTTTGTTCCCTGAATCTAAAATGAGGCGCTTGAATCTCAGCTCTGCTTTAGCTTCAAGTCCCATTTTCTGTAATTAGGATCCAACATATGTTGGTTGATTGGAGACAAATAAACCTTGGTTATACATGAACAGATTTGTGTTTTCTCTGTGAGTAACTCCAGAAACGGATCTGAAGTGCGCAGTGGACCCCCTGTTTTTGAGAACCAAGGAGAATGGGTTATTGTTGTTAAGTGTCATTGAGTTGGTTTTGACTCACAGCAACCCTGTATAGTGGCTGTTGAGTTTGAACCACTGACCTTGCGGTTCAAACCTACCTTGTGGTCCAGTACTTACCCTACAGCCCCACCCAATGCTGCTGCCTGTAGTCATCCTATAGAGCAGTCAGAGGAAAGCCAGGCCCGAGTGGCTTTCCTGCTTGGAGGCTGCCTTCAGGCAAGAGAACAGGAAGGTTTTCAAAGTTCTATTATCAAACTGAAAACTGACTGTGGAATCTGTCATAGTGCCTCACAGTCCACAGTGTTCCCTGGGCTCCCGCTCCTGAGGCCAGCCTCCAGACAGGCTGAGGCCTCAGCATTGAAAACCTCAATTTGTATTCATGAACTAACTGGAGACTTCTCCTCCTTTGTGGAGAGCTTAAAATCAGGATGTGCCCTCTTCTCTTTTCAAAGCACTCTTTCACTTCAAGAGACTCCTCCTGTCAGCCAGTGGGAGCCTCATGCTCAGGGTTGGAACTTGCATGGCTTCAACTTCAAGGAAACATCCAATCCTATAATCAGGAGCAGAGTAAATGCCTCTCTGTTCATTATCCACCTCGTGGGAACACTACCTTCTTTGACCAAGCTGATTACACAACGCAAATTCAGACAGCGGAACAATTTGGTATATGGTGCTGCTCAAAGTGATGTGTAGGCCACGTGCACCAGAGACAATGGGCTTGCTGTTGTTAGGTGCCATCGAGTCGGTACCCACCCATGGCGACCTTATGCACAGTAGAATAAAGCACTGCCCGATCCTGGGCCAACCTCACTACTGTTGCCCCGCTTGAGTCCATCGATGCTGCCACTTGGCTAATCCATCTCGTTGGGGAGTCTTCCTTTTTCCTCTGACCCTCCACCTTTCCAAACATGACATCCTTCTCCAGAGACTGGTCCCTCTGGACAATATGTCTGAAGTATGAGAGACAAAGTTTGGCCATCCTGGCCTCCAAGAAGCACTCTGGCTACACATCTTCCGACACAGATCAGTTGGTTATTTTGGCAGCCCATGGCACTTTCAATATTCTCCTCC